CTACTTAATATATGATATAAATCTGGGGGAAGGGGGGGGGGGTTAAACTACAAACAAATAAAAGGGCAGAAACGTCCACTCTAGTTTGAAATATGTGTGCCTTTCTTATCAAGTTCAAACACTCCGACAGCGTTAAATCAACACCTCGTGAACCGTGAACCTACGGAAAATAACTTGGTCCTACTTTTATACAAAACTTTCTTTCAACTAGCACAAGGTCTATAAATACGAGACAAAATACGAATTAAAGTATCAAAATATTTATAGTAATTTGGAATTTCCAGGAGTATAGTGCTTTAATCCTAATTCCTCATCATCATTTGAAATTTTTTTAAAAAAAAATATTATTTTATGCTTTCGTGAACGTCCCTATGGAGCGTAGAAAATGCCCAATGCATAATCCGTGACGGGGTTAAGATGGACGTCAGAATAATTCAACGTGTTGTATTAATCCGCGTAAGTTTAAAGTCAGCGGTCAGCTTCAAGCTGTGGCCGTATTACCTCGGACATAATTTTGCATGAAGCAGTTCGGGTGAATAGAGCAGAAGATCATTCCAATAAATGAAGTCTCGTTACTGACTCTTGATGATAAAGTGACAAGTTCAAGAGCAAATTTTTGGCTTTGCCGCTCTAGCGAGGACAACTCGGTCACCCCTGGAAAACAGAGTCTCCGTTTCCATGTGGATACGAATTGTCTGACTGCAGACGAGATGCTTTGAATGTCGCCGTAAACAAGAGAGCCAAGTTATCATCACAGCGCGAATTTCATTCACAACGGAGCATTCAGCCTGCGATATGACGTGCCTTGTCCTCTTGTCCCAGTTTGTTTGCATTGTAGTCACCGTCATGGAGCAGGGACATTCAACTTTCTCCAGAAGGGGCCCACTTCAGCCCTTTTCATATGTAAACTCTGGGGCCGCGAGTTTTAAAAACTATTTTAATGGCAGTTTGTTAAAAACACGGCCAAATTACGCACACTACAAACAAACTAACTAACTAACTAGATGGCTTATCGAACCCGAAGGTTCATCACCGAATTAACCAAAGCCCTCCACCGGACCCTGTCCTGGGCCAACAAAATCCAGTCTCCTTCAACTCCTATCTCCCATAGATCCCCACTGAGATTATCCTCCCATCTACGTCTAGGTCTCCCCAGCGGTCTCTTCCCCTCAGGCTTCCCAAATAGTGGACCCAACCAACCAGATGGCTTAC